ATAATCTTATGCCACAAATTACTGAAGGAAATAATTCAACGTAAATAAAAATCTATTTTAATATATTTTTAAGTTACGCGGCAATACCTGGGTGTTTATTATATTCTCTATGCTTTTTATTTTATTATTTTTGTTATTTTCACCTGAGGATATTTTTTCCATTGATTTTCAGAGAGAATAGAAGAGGGGAAGGAGGGAGAGGGAGAAAGAGAAACATCAGTGTGAGAGAGACACGTGGATTGGTTGCCTCCCACATGGCCCTGGATGGTGTAGCTCAGTGGTTACAGCACCAGCCCACGCACCAAAGGGTCGCAGGTTCAATTCCTGGCTCAGGGCACATACATGGGTTGCAGGTGCAATCCCTGGCCCTTGGTTGGGGCATGTGCCAGAGGCAACCAATTGATGTCTCTCTCACATTAATGTTTCTCTTTCTTTTCCCTCCCTTCCACTCTCTCTAAAAAAAAATCAATGGCCCTGGCCAGTTTGGCTCAGTGGTTAGAGCATTGGCCTGAGGACTGAAGGGTCCTGGGTTCGTTTGCGGCCAAGGGCATGTATCTCAGTTGCACACCCCGACCACTCCATCCCTATGCCTGGTGGGAGTGTGTGCGGGAGGCAGACACTCTCCTTTCCTCTCTCTGAAAAAAATATCCTTGGGTGAGAATTAAAAATATAATGGAAAAAAAAAATCGATGGAAAAATATATCCTCAGGTGAGGATTTACAACACAAAAAGAACAGAAGGCCTGAATGTATGTAAGTGCAGAAATATAGAAACGAGAGGACAGTGTGGTGTTTCTCAAAATGGAGCAGGCACAGGTTACTCCTGGAAATTCTGATTTGGTGGGTCTGGAGTGAGTCCTGAGAATTGGCATTTCTAACAGGCTCCCAGGTGACATGACACTGCTGGTCTTTGGAGCACTTAGGGGTGGGAGTTACTCACTATTCTAGATAATTATTCAGCCACAAAGCATAATGTTAACATGTTGGGCATCCATCCTCAAACCACAGGAGGTGGGCCAGGTCCAGTTCCAAAGCACTGGCAGGAGGGTTCTTGCAGGATTAGAGTGATCATCAAGTGCGTGGAAACTTAAAGCCAATTCCCAGAGTCCCGAAGCAGTCAGGTTGGCTTGGCAGTTCCACACTCTGCTGCACATTGGAAAAACTTGAGGATCTGTAAAAAAATTACTGTTGCCCGGCTCCCACTCCCAGACTTGATGTTCTAATTGGTGTGGGGTGTGTCCTGGGCATCAGAATTTTAGAAGGTCCTCAGGTGCTCTTAATGTTCAGCAAAGTCGGGAATCACTGAGTCAATAAATGCTGTCAGACGCTCCCTGTAAAACTTCACGTGAGAGAATGTGCACCGTTAGTGAGGTTGGTCTGGCTTTCCACATTCCGTGGGATCACCACCTCCACCCACTACCTGGCAGTGATTTCCAGGCACCCATTGCGACATGACCTGTTTTCTCTAAAGCATTCTTCATGACTGAACTATTCTGCTGGTAGCAAAAGAATTTTACTGTGAATTCCTTTGTAAAGCTCATCTTAGATAATGGGTTCTTTTAGTAAACTTAAAATGGAATTATTTCAACACTTTTTTTATTATGTGCAACTATTTAGGACCACATACTATTGTAGTGAATAAAGGTAATGTGTGTTTATAAATCTGTATATGTGGAGGTGTTTGCTATAATTATATAATACAACACTTAGTAAGCAGATACCCTATCTCAACATTCAGAGCATACATATAATGTAAATTAATAGCAGTTACCACTGTCTAGGCCAAACCTTTGGAGATGCCCAATTCTTCTTTCAACACTTGTATTCTTATGACTTCTTTGGATTCACTCAGGAAGTATTAGAAGTAAAAGGGACTCCCGGTCATTATCCAATTTGCTCATTATGTAGATGAAGACACTAAATCCTAAAGAGATTGACTTTTCCAAGGCCAAGGAGCCAAATGCAGTTATAGCTACATAACATTACTCAGTCATTATTCGCCACACTCTGGGCTAAGTGCTTTAAATGGATTATCTCCTTGTCATTTAATCCTAAAATAACTCTACCTGGAGGACATGGTAATTATCCCCATTTTATTTTATTTTATTTTATTTTATTTTATTTTATTTTATTTTATTTTATTTTATTATTTTATTTTATTTATTTTATTTGTTTTTTAATCCTCACCTAAGGATATATTGTTTTTTTATTGATTTTAGAGGGGGGTGGGGAGGGAAACATTCATATGAGAGAGAAACATCGATTGGTTGCCTCCTGTATGCACCCCAACCTGAGATCGAACCTGCATCCTACGTATGTGCCCTAATCGGGAATCAAACCGGAAACCTTTTGGGGTACAGGACAACCAACTGAGCCACCTAGCCAGGGCTACCCCATTTTATTGACAAGGGAACTGAGGCTCAAAGAAGTTGAGGATGCGCCTGAGGTTCCAAAGCTGTTAATTCCTGGGATCCCACAGCAGTTTGTCTCCAGGGCCCCCTCTGATAAGCTCTGTTCTGTACTGGGCAGGGCAGGAGCCAGAGCCCCGGTGTTTGATTCCCCATTACTTTTTGGTTACATACTCTTATTTTCTATGATCTATTTCTGTTCTATTATAAAAGGAAATTAGATTAAGGGAAAAATGACCTTTTCTCTTTGCTGTTGTCATTTAATGAACTGTTTTAACCACTAAAATTGCATTAAAATACAATTATGTTTGTCAGCAAGTATATGCAGATATGTGTTATATTTCTGAATAACAGTAAGACTTCCTAATGAGGCTGTTTTTGCTTTAAGTAAAAGATACTTAATTTGTTTTGGGGATTTAGATAAAATTTGAGACTGCATCTGTATAAAAAAAGTTATGTGGATTTTTTTCTAAAATTAGTTTTGAATAAGTATTACATATACATATTTTTGGTCAGTTTAAACTTCGAATTCTTCATTAAAAACCTGACATTTTGTTTTTTAAATAATATAGGATAAAATGTTAGGTGATTTAAAGTGAAGGAAAAAGCCCTTAAGCATAGTGTTAGAATATTTTAGATATACTATCTAACTTTACTATTTCCCCTTAATTTTGATTTTAAATCTCTTACTAAGTCCAGAGGTTAACCCAAATAGTTACTTTAGTTTAATTGTTTTATTAATGAGGAGAATCTTAAAGATTTTTAAATGTACATTATACCCTTTAGATATCGTCTGCTGTTTCTGAAGCTAAAGAGAAATGGAAAAGTGAGCTTGAAAACATGAAGAAAAATGTACCACCTGGCAAGGAACTGGAAGAGAAGATTCATTCTCTCCAGAGAGAGCTCGAGTTAAAGGACCAGGAGGTCCCCGTGGTTGTCAGGGCCGAGCTGGCCAAGGCCCGGAGTGAGTGGAACAAAGAAAAGCAAGAAGAAATCCACAGAATTCAGGAACAAAATGAGCAAGATTACCGGCAGTTTTTAGATGATCATCGAAATAAGATTAATGAGGTGCTTGCAGCAGCTAAAGACGACTTTCTGAAACAAAAAACTGAACTGCTGCTTCAGAAGGAGACAGAATTGCAAACCTGCCTAGACCAGAGTCGCAGAGAGTGGACGGTGCAGGAGGCCAGGCGGATCCAGCTGGAAATCTGTCAGTATGAGGAGGACATCCTGACTGTCCTTGAACTTCTGTTAGAGGACACCCGAAAGGAGCATGCCGGTGGTCCAGGGAACAGGCAGCTCTCAGAACTCGTATCAACTTGCTCTTCAAAATGGGTGTCTGTGCGATATCTTGAAAAACTAAAGGCCTGCGTTCAGAAGGCACTTCAAGATATGCTGTCCCTGCTTCCAGAAAATGCCACCCCAGACTGGGAAAAGGTATGTGCCCGAGAAGGGAAAAGAGCACGTAAACATCAAGTGTGACTGTGGAAGTTGCATACGCTATTTTTTTCCTTTCATTTTACAATTTAATAGATGTAAGACTTGGGTTGATTTTTATTTTTATTTTTTTTTGACCAGTGGTTTTAAAAAACTTTTTGTAACAAATCCAAAGGATTGCCTTTTTTTTTTTTTGCCAAAAACATTACTTTCTTCGTAGTGCCATAAATATGAGGCAGAACTTTTAGTCTCTAGACAGCTTTTTTTTTTTAAAAAAAAGCTATCCTTTGTAAGGGCCTAAGATTTCAGAAACTGAGTAACTCTCATTCCTATTTTGTTTTTTGGGCATTACCAGTTCAAGAACTATGCAACATATTCAACTAGGGTTTCTTAAGAGCTCCTAAAGAGTTTAGAAACCTATTTCTTGCCCTCAAGGAATTTATATCTCACGTAGGCAAAAGAATGCCAACCAAGTACACAGAATGTTGATGTAGAAACCAGCAAGGAGAGGTATGGCTCGCTCACACTGAGCTCTGAAGCCCAGTTCTGTTGGTGGCCTGCATACGTGCAGGTGTAATGAAGTAGTTGTGTTCTTTTCATTGTATGAGTACTTTCTGACACCAGCTTTCAGTTTGTGTGGAACAGTTGATAAAGTCAAAGTCTCGCTCCCTTATGATCGAAGAAAATAGGGATCCGTGAAAAATCCAGAATGATATTCTAGGCACTGTGATCAGCTGGTTTCAACATTTGGAATTAGAGGAAGAAAAAAACCCACGCCAATATTATAAGGTTTGTCTGACAGAAGAGTTGAGATATGAGCCCTGGCCGGCGTGGCTCAGTTGGTTAGAGCATTGTCCCATACACCAAAAGGGTGCAGGTTAGATTCCCCATTCAGAGCGCAAACCTAGGTTACAGGTTAGATCCACACTCGGGCAGCATACAGAAGACAACCAGTGTTTCTCTCTCAAATGGATGTTTCTCTCCTTCTCCCTCTCCCTTCTTCTCTCTCTAAAAATCAATAATAATAAAAAAGTTGAGATATGAGTTAATTCAGTAAGATAGCACGATTAAAGATTTTCGACGCAAGGATTGAGCATTTGGTATTAATACCTCCTGGAAGGAGTTATAAGCTAGGGGAAAAAAATCTGAGTTCTAGTCCCATCCGTGGGGATAACTAACTTACTACCTTGGGTAGTCATATAGTATCATGGTCATTGGAAAAAGAACATACAAATCCCTTGGGTTTCTGTAGGACACACATGATGCAGCCCAGAATTTTAGAGCTGAAGGGATCTGAAAGATTAGTGCACCCCACCCCATTTCACTCCAGTTGATATTTTAAATTCTTGATTTCACAAAGATGTTACTATTTAGTAGTTGCTTTCAATTTAAGAATACTTGGGTGAGACTACTTCCCATGAATAGTGCTTATACTACTTTATTGAGAATTTGGGGAAAAATAGATAATTAAGAAGAATTATCTATCGGAGGTTTTAATGATGAGAAGTGATGGGAAAATCACATTATATATGCTTTCAAGTTTGCTTTCCTGAAAAGGCAGTCTCTGCTACAAAAATCAAGAGACTGTAACACCTCTCTCCTACCATTAATGTGTAATCAAACCTGGGGTCTCTTTATAGGGCTTATACTTGTGCAAACAGTGTAAGGTCATTTTTATGACTTAATGTGGCTTACATGTCTATGGAGACCGAATCACGTAATTTGGCTAAGAACTTAGACTTTTGCGGCTTTAGTTGGGTGGGATCAGATTCCATTCCTGAGAAAAGGGTGGCTTTGAAATACATAATCTGGCATTTGTCATAGAGTAATACTTGACTTTTGCTGTTTTAAAGCTAACTCATTTCAGAAACTTGAGGTAAAGCAGAGATATTAAATTTGCAGTATAGGTGCCATAAATGTGAAGAGCTGTGATTGGTGATTTATTAATTTTATAGTTTTTACAACTGTTCATGAATATTAAAACAGGAACACTGATCTACCGGTATTTATAAAATAACAGATGATCAGAAGTTTTTTTTGAAATGGAAAGGATGAGATGAATTAAAAATCAAGTGTCCAAGGAAATGAATGTCTTACCAAAATATGTTAAAGAAACGGCTCATAGTGGATAAAAGAAGAGAGAAATGTCAATTGGATTAAAAATTTCAAACAGACTTAAGGATGTGCTTTCTATCTTTTCTTACCACCAAAGTCAAGTCAAAGCTAAGTCGAAAAGGTTGCTTCTTCCCACCATTTTTTGTTATCTTAGCTTTTCTCCAGTTTTGAGTAGAAACTGGAAACATTGACTGCCTTTGGGCGCCACTTGTATTACTCCTTTTGGCCTCAACCCCATACATGTCATCTTGGGTGCTCGGAATTTGCCTCTTTTCATTAACTGCTGATCTCTGCTGTTGTTGGGCATCGTAGGTAGGTCTCCTGACAGTCAGTTAAGTGAGTGTCTCATAATCAAAATCAAGGCTTCTAGAATCAAACATATATAATGTGTTTTAAGTAATTAAGCAAGACAGCCCTCTTAAGACCATTCTTTGGGATTTAGTAGTTGTCCAGAATCTGAAAATATTGCCTTAAGTAATTCCTCACCATTAATTAGTTTAGTAGCTATATTGCCTGTAACAGGCAGAAAGTGTTCAATACGTGTTAGTGAAAAAATGGTGTTGTGAGAGATGCTTAACTTCGGTGAGCCTCAGTTTCTTTAACATTGGAATTCAGTTGGCCTTCCTTTCAAAATGGCAGCATATATTAAAATATTTAGAAACATATAGTATACTATGTAAGTTAAAAAAATTTTTTTTTACTGTTGTTACTTTTAATTCATAGAAGGCAAAAGATTTGTATTATAGTTTCTAATGAATTTGATTCCTGCTACAGTAAAAATGTTCTGAATTTTCAAGAACAAGTTTGATTTCACCTAGTCTGTCCTATGGTTTGATCACATAAACTATAAAAATATCTTAAATTCATGTGATCTCCTATCTGTCTCACAGCTGGCCACCAGGCCTCTGCTAGACAGTGTTTTAATTGAAAAATATGGTCCTAAGAGATTAGTTCATAATAATGACAGTATTCACATTAACACCATAAAAAAAATATTGGTGATAGTTTAGGGAAGATTTTTTACAGGCAGTGGGGTTTTTTGTTTTTGTTTTGTATTTTTAATATTAGCATGTTAAATAGAGAACTGTGTGAAGATATCTACTAGGCATTAACTGTAAAGATAATCTGTTTCAGAGAAATATGGCTAAGGTCTGTAAGGATCCTGCCACAGGTGTCACTGGCCAAGGAGACCCTGGAGTCCTGGTCGTCCTTCCTGCGTCCACGTCTGGACACCGTGCTCAGGCCTCGGCCTCGAAAGAAACAGAAGCAGAAGCTGGTAATGGAATTTGATTCCTACTGATCTTTGTAACACCCATAACCGCAGTTCCAGAGGGTTGCTTTGTAGACGAAAGGAGAGCAAAGGTGTACATAGTTTTTGAATGAATGAATGAATGAATGAATGTGTAATATTACTCCCCGATGTGTGTCCTCCCCCTAGATTTCATTTTTGCATTCAGAAGACAGGGTTACTTCTACCTTTTTATGGCCCTCCCTCCATTCAGAAGTGGTTCTGATCAGGAGGGGCATACTGAGACTTTTAGGAGAGCAGTCATGATTTCATTCCCTGGCTTTACTGAGAAATCAAGGGTTTCAGGAGAATTGCCAGACAACTGAGACTTTTTCATTCAGATTACCGGTTTATTTCAACTGTTTTTTTAATGGAAATGTTTCCAAAGTGTCTTAGGTGTTTTCTGATCTATTTGTGAGTTTTTTGAGGGCTGGGGCAGTGTTTTTATCTTCCCCTCGCCAACACAAGGCAGAGTGAAAGGCCATAGTTTGTGTTCCGTGAATATTTGATGAATTAACAGTTGAACTTTCCCTTAATGGCTTAGAGCTGTCATTATGAAGAAGAATGAGTGTGATGTACTCAAGGTATTCAGAGCTCACCGAGGGGTATAGGGCTTATATTCCTGGTCACTGAGGTTTTGAGCTGAGAATTGGCATGTCTTTTAGTAGCCCTGATCCCTTGCAGGACATTGAGCCCTTGCAGCCTACCCCTTCCCCCCACCTGCGAGCACACACACACTCTGTCTGTTTGTCACCTCAACACTAAGACTTGCTGGAACAAATTGTATGTACTAAGCCAACAACCTTAGCTTCCACACATTTCTAAATCATTGGACGATATTACCAGGATCTTAGGAACCTCTGAAGATGTCAGTTGACAGTTGTTTCTCTCATTGTTCATAGACCCTTTTCCTTTATTTCTAAATTCTAGATGGTTTAGAATACCTAATTGCTAATGAGGTGTGTGCTAAGACCACCTTAATTTGTATCTTGCTTCTTACTTTTCAGTGTCATTTTATGTCTGTTGTTATATTTGGAATAGCCTGAGACTCATATTTTATTATGTGAAATGTAGTTTTAGATAATATTTGGCTTTGGGAAATCCTGTCAATATGAAAGAAATGAGTTTTGAACTAAATCAAATCAGACTATAAAAGGATTTACTTTTCTTTTTTCAGTCTTTTTTCCCCCCCAAAAACAAGACATTAACAAATGCATTAGAAAGGATTAAATAATCCAAAACAGGTAGTAAGAGATAAAGTCCTTTACAATCCTATCACAAGAGAGTGGCACTGTTGACTGGTTATAGTTTTCTTATATCTCATTATTTTTAAAAGTAATTTAAACATTAATTATGAAATACTTGATATATGCAAAAGATATGTGTAATACTCATGGGAGTTATGAAGGCTAACAACCAGGAACCCACTGTCAGACTTAAAAAATTGAACATTACCAATACTGTTAAAGACTGCTGTGCGTGTCATGGCGACTTCACTCCTATACCTTCCCCACAACCCCAGGCAACAAATAATCTGATTTTTAAAAGTTATTCTCTTGCCTTTCTTTATGTTTTGATTAAGTATAGGAATCTTAAAAAAGCTGTTGCTTTATATTGTGTGTCTTTTAACATTGTAAAAATGGTTCAGTACTCATTAAAGTTTTCGTAACTTTCCTTTTCTACTTAATATCAAGCTTCTAAGATTTGTCAGTGTTAATGCATATAGCTCTAGTTCATTCATTTATCATTGCTGTATAGTATTCCATTATAAGAATATGCAGTAATTTATCTATTTTCTTGTTAGTGGGTATTTGCCCGGTTTTTAGTTTTATAACAGTATCATAAAAGTAAAATGTAAATGCAGTGTATGGTACCAAAGTGATGCTTTATTAACCCTTCAGTGCTCATGGACATAAATGACACCATTTAAAATGAAACTAAAGCCTGGCCAGGCGTGGCTCAGTGGTTGAGCATTGACCTAGGATCCAGGTGATCAGGGTTCGATTCCCAGTAAGGGCACATGCCCAGGTAGCGGGCTCTATCAATGACTTTTTCATCATTGATGTTTCTCTCTCTCCCTCTCCTTTCCTCTCTCTGAAATCAATAAAGATATATTTTAAAAAATAAATAAATAAAATGAAAGTAAAAAGTCAGGAGAAAGCTAATAATAATGTTGCTGGGCCAGTGATCTTACAACAGCTTGCTGGATATTGGCCTCTGAGCTTGTGCCAATTTGTATTTCTACTTTATTATATCAATTATATTAATAGCAATAATCTACTTTTTGTATCACTTTTATATATTAAATTTTACAGTTACTAATAGCAGCAGCTATTATTTATTGTGTTCTTGCTGTATGCCAGGTACTGGGCCAAACAATTTTCATACATTTATACCTCCTGACAGTTTTAAATCGTTTTTTAAATTTGGAAATAATTTTAAACTTACAGAAAATTTACAAAAATAAAAACATTTGCAAAGAACATTCATACACCCTTTACCTAGATCCACCTATTGATAACATTTTGCCCCATTTTGTGCCCTTCTGTATGGATGTTTATGTGAATATTTCATTTTTCCTGAACCATTTGTGGGTTACACCCATTGTGCCCTTTTACCCCTAAATACTACAGTGTGTATTTTCCAAAAACTGAATTTTTCTTGTATAACCTTAGTACAGTAAATTTAACATTAGGTGAAAATATTGTGTCAGTCTACTATTTGTATCCTAATTTTGTTGATTGACCCAATAATGCCTTTTATAGCATGTTTTCCCCTCTAGCACAGGACTCTGGGATCAGGCATTAGGTTTAGATGTTGTATCTCTTTAATCTAGAATCTTAGAATATTTCCACAACCACTCTTTGCCTTTTATGACATTGACATTTTTGAGAGACATATTCTCCACTCTCTTCAACTCC